TACACAATAATTTTCCTAATAAGTATGAAAAAAAAATATAGTTTGAAAATTTAAATATACAATTTTATAGAGATAAATAGAAGTAACAAAATTATCTTATATTAGACAATATTGATTATTTTATGGCTAAAGAAAAAGGGGAAATGGTCGTTGGACAGAGTTTGACCACTTTCCCTGTATTGCCTTAGGAGACTTTTACGTGGATTCTGTCGACACTTTCCATATTGGCGACGTCGACGTTGGGATCAACGGCTCAACCCAATTCTCAACTCTCCATATTTGGCTTGGTCAAAATACTCTAACCAATCAATGCCATTTCATTTCATTCTTATATTCTCGTACGTACATACATACATACATTATTATATAATAATGAAGGATTATTAAAGTCAATATTTTGACTTCTGACCCCAGTTTCTTTTTTTTCTAATCTTGCTCTTTCATATATTGGATTTCTAACTTTCCCACTGAGTATCCAACCCCAATACTTTACAAGATTAATGGCCAAGGCGTGAATGTATATACACACACACACACACACAGGGGCTACCCACCAAAAAAAGAAAGCATGTCAATCATGGCATCCTATTCTACTCTTGTCTTCTTCCTCATCTCCTCCATTCTCTCATTTTCTTCATGGGAAACTGAAGCTAGAGGATTGCCAATCACTTCATTGATCAACAGAGACCTCTTCAATGCAATTTTCCTACACAAAGACAACCCTGCATGTCCTGCTAAAGACTTCTATACTTACGATTCCTTTATTCTAGCAACGAGACGGTTCCCAAGATTCGGCAAGACGGGCCGTTTAACCACTAGGAAGCGTGAAATCGCCGCCTTTCTTGCTCAAATTTCCCACGAGACCACCGGCGGTTGGCCTACTGCCCCGGACGGCCCCTTTGCCTGGGGCTTATGCTTCAAAGAAGAAGTTTCTCCTCCAAGCAACTACTGTGATTCTACTAATACCAAATGGCCTTGTTTTCCTGGAAAATCTTACAAGGGCAGAGGACCCATTCAATTATCATGGTAAATACACACACACACACAAAAGTATGATTTTATGTTAATGGGTCAAATAATCTTATTGGGTTGAATTGTGTTATGCTTCTCTATGTGATCATTTGGATGTTGTGTTATATAAAAGAATAACATTAAGTGGGATGGATGCAGGAATTTCAACTATGGACCAGCAGGGAGAGCACTTGGTTTTGACGGGTTGAGGAACCCAGAAATTGTGGCCAACAATTCGTTGATTGCATTCAAGAGTGCGCTTTGGTTCTGGATGACAGAGCAGAGACCTAAGCCATCTTGCCACAATGTGATGATTGGCAGATATATCCCTACCCCAGCTGACATAGCAGCTAATCGGACGGCCGGATATGGTCTAGTCACCAACATAATCAACGGAGGACTCGAATGCGGAATACCGGGTGATGGTCGGGTCAACGATCGGATCGGATACTTTCAGAGATACGCTAAGTTGTTCAATGTCGATACTGGACCTAACCTAGACTGTGCAAATCAGAAATCCTTTTAAAAAAAAACTTTCTTTTTTCATTAAAGAAATAAAAATATTATGTTAGATTGATGGAATGGAACTCTGTGTTTTGTTGTTTTCTGTAATTCTCTGGGAGATCATATATAATATATTATAATTTATTCATTTCGAAGATACATGCAATGAAATGGTTACAACAAACAAAATGTGAAGCAAGACTGACATGAGGTCGATTCTGCAGTGCGAATTAATGTGTAATTAAAAATTATATTTAATTAAGCCGGCAAGATGAGACAAGGATATTATTGCATATAACTTCAATTTTTTTTTTAAAGGTAAATAGTATATATATTTATCAATTATTTGATATATATATATATATAACAATCAAGACATAACACATATATCCTTCAAGAAATTTATTTTTGTCAAAGATAAAATAACACAAATAACCTCCAAGAGATTTATTTTTATTTTAAGAATTAAAGACCTGACAGAAACTAGAATTAATCTATTAATACTTAAACCATACAAAATAAGATGCTGCAACCCAACAATCAGAAGAAATGAAAAAAAAGAGGAGAAGAAGAAGAAGAAGGAGAAGGAGAAGGAGAAGAAGAAGAAGAAGGAGAAGAAGAAGAAGAAGAAGAAGAAGAAGAAGAAATAGAAAAAGAAAAGAAAATCAATTAGTCATTGGTTGTTGCTTTGTTATGGCATTGACAGCATAGATGCTTCCTGGGATATATCCTGCTACTGTTAACAACACTGTGATCCAGAAATCAGCCTGCAACTCCAAGATTTAAAGATACATAATGACGTTAATTTTCGTTTGGTAAACATATTCGAATTCATATGATATGGGATTGTATTTAATTTGACTATATATATGTTTATATATACACATATGGTCCAGATCTAACTCAGAATTGAGATTAATGTACACAAACCTTGCATCCTTTGGACTTAACTACGCCGAGGGGAGGCAAGAGAATGGCAAGAAGAAGATCAGCACAGTCTGGATTTCTCTTTTCTTTACAGTAATAAAAAAACTGCGTCAGTATACAGCACATATTGAGAGGGTTATGCTTCACATACGCTACAGATTAGACCTCATCATGTGTACTTATATATAACATCAAAAGCTGATCTTTTTAATTTGCATATATTCTAACTAAAAAGGAGGAGAAAAAATGATGAATTGAAAGGTGTTGGCAGGAGATCACGCAAGCAAAGAATCGCAAAGATGATCGACATGTTTGATTAATTGAGTTGTGTGTTGGTGAAGCTTTAAGGTGAAAACGTGAATCATGCGTTCATAATTTCATTGTTTGAAGATGATCACCAAGAACATATAGCTTTAGGGGAATGCTAGCTGGAAATGTTGGTGTATATATATATATATATATATATATATATATATATATATATGCTTGCCTAGAGAATAAAAGAAAAATATTGCTTTCTTATCTGGAAAATATACTTTTTTGCTTACAGTATTAACTTTATAGGTACCATTATACAATAACTATTGAGAGATGATCAAGGTGGGAGTAGAAATAATCTAACAGATGAATTGAAATTTATTTTCTTTAAACAATGTATTTATATTCTAAAATGCGATAATTAAGCACATAATCCAGTCAGATATATCCACATTTTCCCAGTCAAAATATTCTCTGTACCCCAATAATATCTATGAAAAATATTATGTACATGCACAAGGAATTTGATTCTTTTTGCTAGGATAAAGAAGTTGATGCATCTTTGTAGTAACATTATTATTATTATTATTATTTAATAAATATAAATCATAATATTTATGTTAAACTTGGTCAGATTTGACTACTATAACCATAATGCTTTTATTAGTTAAAATTCAGAACTGTATATAAAAGTAATGAAATCGAATTTTATTAATAATGTGAAGTTGGTCATTTAATTTGTTATGATGTTGGTGAAATTGTATTAACTAATAAAGGATTCATCTCGGATTTGTGTTATAATTAATGTGAAATTTATTTTTAACTTCTTACTTAAAGCAATTAAAAATTTAAATAATAATAATAATAACGTTATCATTCTAAAATAATAAATTTGAATTCATAGTTTTTCAGTTCTAAATGTGTCTTGGTATTTCATATGAAATAGATTTTTATTGTCCTTTAATAAAACTAGAATTACATACTAATTTAAATTTTGTATAGAATAAGAATAAGAACATAGTAAATGTGGGATGAAGATTTTAAGAAAATTAATTATAAATAAGTAGAAATACAAATCAACCATTGTTGAATTCAAAATACTAGTAGAGTTATTTCAGTTATCTATTAATCTGGGAATTAACATATAATTACGATATGTAATTAATATTTGATTTATATAATAGACTTGATGCATCCAATCACTAATTAAGAATAAGTAGGTGCCATAAAAATGCGTAAGTGAATTCTACAGATTTGAATTTATTTCAAACATAATAAATTTAAAAAATATATATAAACATATTTTATTTTATTGAAATAAAATAATAGAAAATAAGAATCAAATTTTCTCTTAAATATTGCAGTATAAGAAATTGTACTTGTAATACCCGGGCCTGGAATTTATCCCGTGTTTAATTTTAAAATTAAAAAAATATATAAAAATCTAATTTGAAAATTAATAAAATTTAATTTAATGTGAAATTATTAAAAAAAAATAAGTTGAAAACGAAATTAAAAATAATTTTGGAAAAAACAGTGAAAATTTAGGTTCGAATGGTGTTTTTGAAAGAAAAATAAAAAAATGGGAGTCATAACGCAATTAAAAAAAATTGCGCCACATAGGACTGTCCAGTCAGCAGCCTCGATGAATGGGAGCGTGCCGCGTATCAAGGCATGCTGAGTCGGTGCCACACTGGAGGCCACGTTAGCGATCCGCGTGCCCTGCGATCGGACGGTCTGAAAGCGTTCCCACACGTATGGACAGTCCGGATCCGTTCCCTCTTCAGGTGCAATTAGACGGTCGTGATTAAACGAGACGAACGGTTCATATTCGTTTACTCTTTAAACGAGATCAGACGATCGAAATTAAATCGCAATGAACTGTTCACATTCATTTCCTCTTTAAACGCGATCGGATGATTGAGATCAAACACAATGAACGGCCCATATTTACGTAAAACGGGTATAAATATTTTGCATCACACCAAACCCAAATCCTAGCCACTACCCTTCTGCAGGAGAAGAAAAACCAGTCACTGAAGAAGAGAGCCGACTATCGCCCGTCGCCGCGCCAGAGTCACCTCTGACCGTCAAAAAAGGTAAAAATTTTTCTATCAGCTTAGAATTTGATTCCGAGCACCCCTATGACCAAATCAGAGTAAAAAGAACGATGGTGAGCCGAAAATTGCGGACAAACCCGAAACCTCCTTCAATGAGCCTCTTCCCATTTTCCATTTCGCGCGATTTTTTCACCATTGTGTTTACTATTTTGTTTTCTATAGATTGGCTGACAAAAAACGTCCAGCCACGAAGGTGAGCAAGCGGAGCTACCGCATTGAAAAATGTCACCACCGATAGGTTTCTATTTTTTGACTTTTTTCGGCCAACTGAGACCCCTTAATGTGTTTTCTCACAGGGATATGTATAAAACTAGTCGGAAACGGCCAGGTCGATGCAAACCGTCGCCAGAACACGGTAGTGCAGCCATGTCAGAATTTCAAAATTGACCGGAAAAGGTTTTTAACACCCATTTTGAATTTTTTAGTGCATTTTTAGATATGTAAAACGTATTTTAATCTCCACAGGAAAATTCAGGAAATCTGGAGACCGTTAGTAAGCACATTAGAAAGTTTAGTATTTCAGACACCGATTTGAGTAAGAATCTCTCATCTTATTCACTGTTATAGAATTAAAACTTAATAATTAGTAATATGGTATTTTGTGTAATTTAAAAAACTTTGAGAATAATTACAAGCCTATGTAACTGATTGTTGAATTTACAGCTTTAAATACATGATGATATACTAGAATAGTTGAATGATTTAGTTGTACTTGCTTAACATATATATTGCTTATCTTGTATAATTTACAGTTGATTTGTGAAATTGAAAATTAATATGCAAATAGAGAATTGATTGGTCATGTGAATTAATGAATGATAGCCTTACTAGATATCCTGAGAGATAGTGGACGGATCGCATACATAGAAAACCATATCGTGAACGTTGCCTCATACTGACAAAATATTGAGGAATAGTACTTTTGGTGCTCATATCGGATAGGGTATGGAGACGACCCGATTCAACCTTATACCGGACGGAGTAGTGATGAATGATATTTTTGGCGGTTATACCAGCTGAGGTATGGGGACGATCGGTTAGTTAACAATATTGAATATTGGTTCACGCGTAGTGGGATATCCTTATGGGCCCCCAAGGATACTAGCAGACAAATAAAAAGGGAAAGTAGTTGTTATTGCTCACTCAAAAATGAGATTGGAAAGTTATTTGAGTTATTGTCTCTATAGAGCAATTTTGAAAATCTCGCAACGATAAATATATGCAATAAATAGTTTTCTTTATGATAAATGAATTTACTTAAATCAAGAGCTTCATTGGTTGTTTTTATGATTTTTACTACATTCAGTTTCTGTATCGATGAGTAGTATAATATTCTTACTGGGGTAGTGTAACTCACCCTTTCATGAACTAGTTTAAATCCAAAGGACCAACACTAGATCCTCATCAATAAGAGGGTTGTGAATAGTTCACCACCTAAACTCCCTTCAAAAACTAGTAAAGGTCGTCCTAAAATACTCAACATATTGCCTTTTGTTTATTTCTTTTATTTTCGTTTGTTCTTTTAGAATGGTCATTCCCGTAACCTTATTAGACATTCTAAATTATTGTGTAAAAAATATAAACCATATTATTTCTCTTTCGCATTTAATTTATGACTTTATTTCCTTTAAGTTCCGAGTCTTTACAGTTGGTATCAAAGTCGCGTTCCTCAGAATCATTTTTTACACAAAAACTTAAAAATACCAAATACGAATAATCACCCAACCATTCCTTGTGAAAAATAAGTACAAAGATGTAGTACTCGGGTCCGAAATTTGGCCCGGAGTTAATTTTAGCATTAAAAAATGTGTAAAAATCTATTTTTTAATTTAATGTAGGATTATGGAAAAAAAATAAGTTAAGCATGAAACTGAAAATAATTTTGGAAAAAATAGGTGAAAATTTGGATTCGGATGGTGTTTTTAAAAGAAAATTCAGAAACTGGGGGGTCAGAACGTAATTAAGAAAAATTGCACCATGTAGGATCGCCCAATCAGTAGCCCTGACGAATCGGAGCTTGCCCCGTTGTAAGGCACGCTGACTCGGTGCCACGCGGGAGGCCACACTAGCGATTTGTGTGCCCTGTGATCAGATGGTCCGGAAGCGTTCCCACACATGTGAACGGTCCGGATTCGATCCCTCCTCAGGCGCGATCAGACGGTCGCGATTAAACACGATAAACGGTTTAGATTCGTTCTATTTTTAAATACGATTGGACAGTTGAGGTCAAATCGCAATGAACGGTCTTGATTTACACGAGATGGGTATAAATATGTCGCATCACATTGAACCTAAACTCTAGCCGCCAGCACCTCCGGTCAGAGAATAAGAACCAGTCGCCAAAAAATAGAGCCGACCGCCGCCCACCACCGCGCTGGAGCTACCTCTGACCGCCAAAAAAGATTAAAAAAAATTTATCTACTAGGAATTTGATTTCGAGCACCCCCATAGCCAAATTGGAACAAAAAGAACGGCGGATGAGTCAGAAACTACGGGTGAAACCCGACGGCATCGCTGTGGGGAAAATCCGCAATCACCTTCGATGAGCCCCTTCCCGTTTTCTGTTTCATGTGATTTTTTTACTATTATGTTCACTGTTCTGTTTTCTACAGGTTGACAAAAAAAAATGCTCAACCGCGAAGGTGAGCCAGTGGAGCCGCCACATTTGAAAATTCTACTGTCGGTAGGTTTTTTTTTTTTTACTTTTTTAGGCCAACCAAGGTCCCTTAACGTGTTTTCTCACAATGATATGTATAAAACCAGTCGAAACTGGCCAAATCTGGCTGAAAACAGCTAGGCCAAGGTAAAGCACCGTTGTGGGCGACGGTGCCGTCGCTAAAGCACGGAGGTACCGTTGTGCCGAAATTTTGAAATTGGCTTAAAAAGGTTTTAACACCAATTTTGGATTTTTTAGAATATTTTTAGGTACGTAAAACATATTAAGAATCCCTCACCTTATTTTCTGTTATAGAATTGAAGTTTTATAATCGATAATATAATATTTTGTATAATTTAGAAAAGTTTGAGAATAATTACAAGTTACCAATGAAGGCAGAACCAATTAGTCATTTATTTATTATCCTATGTAACTGATTATTGAATTTACAGGTTTAAATACATGATGATATACTGAAATGATTGAATGATTCAATTGTGATTCCTTGATATATATATTGTTTTTCAATATACATTATTTTTCTTGCATGATTTACGGTTGATTTGTGAAATTAAAAAATAATATGCAAATGAAAAATTGATTGGTCATGTGAATTAATGAATGGTAGCCTTACTGGATATCTTGAGAGATGGTGGATGGACCGAATACATAGGGAATTCTACCGTGAACGTTATCTCATACCGGATGGGGTATTGAGAAATGGTATTTTTGACGCTCATACTGAATGGTTCACGCGTACTGGGATATTCTTATAGGCTCTCAGGGATACTAGTAGACAAATAAATAGGAAAGTGTTTGTTATTGCTCACTCGAAAATGAGATTGAAATATTATTTGAGTTATTGTCTCTATAAGTTAATTTTAAAAATCGCGCAATGGTAAATGTATGCAATAAATAATTTTTTTTATAATAAATAAATTTATTTAAATTAAGAGCACATTTGTTGTTTTTGTGATTTTTATTAACCTTTAGTTTCTGTATTGGTGAGTAGTGTGATGTTCTTACTGGGTTAGTGTAGCTCACCATTTCATTAATTATTCCAGATTAAGAGAATCAAGATCCAGATGCCGATCAACAAGATAGTTGTGAATAAGTTCACAATCCGGATTCCCTTCAGAAGATAGTGAAGGTCGTCCTAGAACGCTCAGTTATTTACCTTATTCAGTATTCTAAATTATTGTGTAAGAATGTAAAATCCTAAACTCTATTATTTTGCTTCCGCATTTAATTTATGATCTTATTATCTTTTAAATTCTGGAGCTTTACAGTACTATCTTGAAATGTTTTTAAATTGTATAATTTGGACATTATTATTTATGAATTTCACTTGTGTGAGGGAAATTTGAAAATCCTGGAGGCCTTATTTACTAACAATTGCATAATATTTGAAAACCCAAATGAATATATATGATGGTCCGTTTTTCAATTTCCTAACAAGGCCTAGTTTGATATAATTTTATAAATACTTAAATGCAATTTTATGAATAACTACATGTATATATTGTTTTATTAGAACATTATTATTATTTTTTAACAATTTAGTATTTGAATTTTGACATTATGAACTTTTAGAAAAAGACATTCGTTATAATATCCTAAATAATAATATCCTTGTGTGTGTGTGTGTGAGAATTGATACTTGCATAAATAGGAAGTCTCAATTTTCCAAATTAATTAATATCATTAATCAGAATGAAAGTAGGAGCAGCCAATATTTATGAGAATTTGAAATACATTGTTTTGATCTTTGTATAAACATAAATTTAATTTTTATAATTTGAAGTAATATTCTTGTCATTTTGTAATTAAAATATGTGCATACTTGTAAATAAATTCAGACATAAATTTTAAATATGATATTATTTTTATAAAAAAATAAAAATAATAATAATAATAATGATATAGCTGGTGCTGCTACTGATTTACACTAATTGTGTATGTAAATAAATGTACATGATCCATCCGTAAAACTGTCAAAATTTTCAATTCTATGTCTCTTCCAAACCACAAAACCATATCATAAATCGAACACATCAAAACCATCATTGTTGAAAGTGGTAAGCTCTTGTGATCTTCAACCTTCTTACAGTCGATAAGAACATCCTGCAATTATAAATTAAACATAACTAAATATATAGAGATTTACATATATACATATAAATACTGAAATTACTTACTCCCAAGGAACATCCCCAACCATCATCCAATCGCCTTCCTTGTCCTCATATGTCAACACATGACTTTTCTCACAATGCATCAATTCCTCCTCTTCAGCCCCTGTAATTAATTTGTTCCGTCAAAACAGAATATTAATTCCCAATTCTCAAATTATTACCAGAAGAGAAATATAATATTGTTGGGAAAATAAATATAAAGTAAAAAAGAAAATGTACTATATGCCTGTTTACACACATAAAATCAAGAAGAAATTTTTTTATTATGATCAAATAGCGTACATTAATAATAAATTATAAGCTATTTATATAGAAAAATTATGAAAATTTACCTTTTAAAATATAAATAAAATATAACCAAGATCAAGCTTGCCAAATCAACACATATTAATACGAGAATGGACAGACACACTTAGAAAAAAAGAGAAAAGAACTTAACAGAAAATGGCAGCGTTAAACATATGATCGAGACTCCTTATCAAATCACGGTAGCCATCGTGAGCCAAAAGATCTAATTTTCGACCAATAGGAATGCCCTCCATGTAAACCTTTACAAAGAAAGTTGCAGAACTATTACATTCGCTTTCTTCTTCTTCTTCTTCTTCTACCGTTTGCTTTAAAACCGACTTGATGGGTGGCCAATTGCCAGATCCCTGCAAACTAATTAAAAATATTTTTGAAAGAAATGAGAAATGGGTATTGGTTAAAAACAAGTTTGGTCAAATGGGCTCTTGTTATAGTAATGAATGAATGAACGTAAGTACCTTGTAAGCTGAGAAGGAGTGTGGTGTTGAGTAGTTGATGAAACGGTGAGTCCGAGACTGAGATCAGTGCTAAGATCTGTTTTGAAATTTGAAGAAGAAGAAGCAGATGAGAGAGGAAGGTGGTAATTACTGCTTTCAATAGATGAAGACGACGGAGTTACAGCTCTGCTCATTTTGTTGAGATGTGAAGACAAGGAAGCCGCCCTCTCTGCGTTTTGCAGGTATAGATAAATAGACAGAGAGAGAGAGAGAGAGAAGAATGTTGAAAAATGATTCATGAGGTTTTTTGTGGGAGACAATTCCTTGGGAAGACTGGTTGGCCTGATATGTTGCCAGCTTAGCAGACAACTACACGTGTCGAATATCATTACATCTATATATCTATATATAATTATACTTCCTAAGAAACTTTTCATCATCATCTTCACAGGTTTACACTGAACATGAGTCTTTTTAATAGTTGTTGGCGGCTAAGTAAATTTATTGCGTCCATGTAAACATTTAATTTAATCTCATGTAAGTAGTTAATCACATTTATTATGTTGTATTAGCATATAATTAATTAAAAAGATACCATGTTAATCTAATACATAATTGAATGCACGAGTTGTTTATAATATGGATAGAGACATCATAAACTCAGAGGAAATGAATATGGACGGTTGAGGGAGAATCAAGAAGGATACAAAAGCATCGATATCAGAAATAGAAAAGCTTTGTATAATATATATACGTACATGTATATACGCAGAACAACAACATGCAGTGTACAATAAAATTAAATCCGGAAAAAGTTTGTCTGAAATCGAAGTTCAATGGATGAGATCATCGTGTCCCGAAATCAAAAAACACATATTATTAATTAGGGTTAATATTGATAATGATGATACTGACATAATGTTCTTGTAAAATTTAACATACAAAAAGTATTAAGCAGAATGCTTCGACCTCAAAATTCATACAGGAAAAAGGAATACAAAAGACAGTTTGGATATTTAGTGACTGTTCCCTAGGGTTTCACACTCGAATAATTTATTCAATTTTCATTCTATTCTAACTTGATATAACAATTATATATGTACATACATTAGGGGTAATATATAGATACTTCTCTTCTTATATTTTTACATTAACTTTTTTTTTTTTTTTTTTTTTTTATATATATAAATAGATCAATTAGAAACAATTTTTAATTATTTATGTGCATTTATAATAAAATTAAATTGTATTATTATTTTTTTAAATTTATTTTTATCATGTTATAATTATTATATATGTGTTACATAATCAATAAATACATATATTTATTTAAAGAAAATTAGATTGCATGAGCATTGGGAGGAATTTTTGGTGAGATTGAGAAATGGGAATTACTACTTAATCTTTAAAGAGTAAAAGGCTGTGTTGGGGATAGAAACACAATTTGCAAGCACAAGGAAAAGGAAGCAAAGACACAAAGTAAATGCAATTGGAATTGAATTTCCAATTTCGCCAACCCCACGTGCACAAACCACGTGTCTCTCTCTTCATGACAAATCTTTTATATCATTGGTCCTCTTGTTCCTCAACAAATATACATATATATATATGTGTGTGTGTGTGTACACATATTACCCAAAACAAAAATATTTTTTTAAAAGGGAAAAAAAAGAAGGAGAGTAAGGGGAAAGGGAACATGAGATATTGCTTGTACCGAAAGAATCGCCATTTGTAAACCAAGGAAAACGAAAAGGGATGTGAGATGGAAACAAATGAAGGAAAAAGAAAAAGCACTTTGTCTCCCACCGCCCATACCATCCATCCTCTTTGGTTTGGTTCAATTTTTCTTTTTCTTTTTAGTTTCCTAGTTTCAACTTAATTAAAAGGAACTTAATTTCTCTGGAACTGCAACTGCCAATTTTTCTTTTTGAGTTGTTTGGGTGAGAATAAGAAAGGTGATTCATAGTAAGTTCACCGTCATTCATCATTCATGTCTACTCACTGTTGGGGAATTAAATTTCGTACTTTTGATTTGGGGGGGGGGGGGATTACTCCAAATTTTATTGGGTTGCTTTTTCTTTCCTCCGCTAAAGTTTGTCTCTATTGATAGGGGCTTCACTAGTGGGGGCAGCATCCCATTTACAGCCTTGCTTTTATCAACCAATATCTTCTTTTTATTTATGGTTCTGCTGTTTTCTATATATGTATGTAATAAAATATAATACAGTAATAGGAGGTAGTTTCTTGTTAAACTTGTTTAACTTAATTTGGACAAAAGAAGAAGCTCTTTGAAATTTCCCTTCATACGTTAATGCAGTATTAGGCTACACTTTGTTGTTTCCAGATTCTTGTCTTTCGCTATTTTTTAGGTCGATTCTCTTCTTTGCTTTTTCTAATAAATTCCACAACTCTCTTTTTTTCCACGTGCCTACAAGCTATGCTTCATGCTTTACGGGTTAGGGAATTCTTCCCATCTATCCTCTTCTACATAATTCAATAATAATAGTGACGGTAATAACATATTTTACATTAATCAATACTTTAAAAACATTCAATTTCTATTTCTTGCGCTAATATTTCAATACAAATTAAACAAGCAAAATTATTTCTGACTAAATAACTTCTGCAAAAGGTGTAAATTTAATTTACAAGTTCATATTTTTATTCACTCCCAACATAAGAATGTAAATTTGCAAAAGAATACCATCATCTTCCTATTTCTGTTTCTATATATATATATATATATTAAATTATGACTAACAAAAAAGCTTTTTACTTTGATTTTGCATAATGGGAAAAGGGGAGGTGAATGTTTTTTGCGGTGAAAATAAAAAGTGAAAAAGGATGTGCCCGACAAGTTTATGTCCAGCGCGTATCGTACATTCCCTACAACGAGTAAAAGGAAGATTTGCTTCAATAGCCCCATAGGCTTTTCAAGGGTGCCCAAGGCAGAGCCACTAATCACGGAATAAGCAAAGACTTAATACGTCGTTATTACAAATTTAATGGAAATGCCAAAAAACGAAAGGGAAATCCAAGGAGAAAAACACTACCCATTAATGTTTTAACTGCTGAAAACTACACGGGACTACATACTCAGAATGTGGAGAACTTGGCCTGTATCAGACACTAATTGTATGTATATTGTGATAGAAAACTGTTTACTTCTGCTGCAACCTCGTACGCACCCTCCACACATCGTCCCAATGCCACACCAGATACATAATTTCCTCCCAAGAAAAGCCCTTCAAACCCACCGCTGTTAAGAGCAGATTTTGCAGCATCTACAAGGTCTAAATGACCAACCAAGAATTGTGGAATTGCTTGCGGCCACACTCTTACACCTAATACAAACGGATCCTTTGCACTCGGATTTATGAGCATCTTTCTCAAATCACGGTCGACCACCTCCACAAGCTTGGCCTCAGTCTGTTTACAGAAACTACAACATCAGTCAAAGTAAAAATGAAATGAAGCTTTATGGAATAGAGCCCTTATGCATAGCCCAAAAGAATAGTAGTTATTACACAGTGTTGCAATATATGTAGTTGCCTGGATTGGTGAAATGTAAGCAATTTAGTTTTAGAAATAACTACATGTCAAGCAAAGCCTCAAAAATAGCATCAACTCTTGAGGAGAGACATAGCAGTGCCAAAACTTAAGTTCATGGGTAAGACTCCAAACACAACTAGTGTATTTACAGAGCAAGAGCATAAAAACATGGTCCTTTTTCTTCAAAAAATGATCCTATTTAGTATCTGAACATAAAGTGTCAATATGCTACTACTGGATCCACTTATCCATATCATCCACATATCCTCAAATTATACTTCAGAACTCTATTACCTTGGACAAAATCCCACGGTTGGTAGCTCCTCCAATATAGTTCAGGAGCAGAACCCTTCCTGCTGGCGCTCGATTAGGAAAAAGCGAAGAGCTGTATATTGTTCCTGCAGGAAAGGAGTTGATAAAACTTGAAAATTTTGGTATGAAAATTTTCAGCATGTCCAGGACAAGCTATTTTTAATTATCAAACATTAATCACTAGGTAAGAGTTTACAAACCTAAGGTTTCCACTCCTTGGCTGCGTGGATGCAATTGGCCGAAGCCTTTAAGTTCACCATCGATCAAGCACTCAGTCCGAATTGCTTCCTTTGGATATGAGATGGACACTGCTGCAACTGGCGGGTAATAGAATTTTGAGAGTGCATCTGCAGCAGGATCCTGAAAAGAAAAAGTAGTAATGGGTAAAAACTCATTAGAAACTCTACCAAAGTAGACCAGCAAGAGACCAGAAATTGCTGACTCAAAATATCTAGAAAATATCCTTTTTTTGGTCGAAAAGAATATAAATAATCAACAGAGGCACCAAGGGGGTCTCAACCTCGTACAAAAGGGACAAACAAATTACAAGATAGAGCCAGCTTTCTCATCATTGAGGTTCCCAGAATACTCTCATTTCGGAGTGGATGACCTTCAAAAGTAAACTATAAGGTACAGAACCACAGCACTCAAAGAGTAGTAAAGTCACCAATAGAACCATTAGAACATCTTTATTTCTAACCAAATTGTCCATAAAATCAAGAGGCCAATGAGGCCAATAATAGTCTTCTTAGTCCAGCCTGCTCGACTGCCCTCTCCTACTTTCAGTACAGCAAAGATTAACCTACTAACCACCCACCAACTGATTGCCGATACCCACAACCTTCTCCCTTCCTTACCCAATATAATGAGATGGGGCTCATACTCCCTCCCTCCTAATACAGTGGGAGTGGCTAAACCAATTGTCATGCTTACATTCCCATGTCACATTAGATATCAGAAATGACATCCTTGGGTCAACACATAGGACTTTTCCAGTTCATTCAACAAATGCATTACAATGATCACAAAGAATGGTCTGCCACCAGGACTTTGAGGTTGAAGGTATCCATATGAGCCTCCAAGCAGCAGGATTATGTAGAAACCCCATACATAATCTGGAGAGTATCTTCGGGTGATCTCCAAACTAAGAAGCGGAATAATTCTCTTCCATAATAGGGATATTTGCTCTTTGTAGGACCAATTCTATTGTGTATAGTTTCCTTTTCTAATTCTTTCCTAACAATCTTCTATATATACCTACCTGCTGTACACTGTTGGAAATGAATACAAATCACACTGATTTAATTCCAAAAAACTTCATGGTAACAGAGCAAGTTCTCTGAACCCTGGAGAAATTTTTTTCTTTCGCTCATGATCAAATACGGAATGGCCATGGGGAGGACAAACAAACTTTCTGAAGTTACGTCAAGGGCCAATGGAACTATTTCCATCAAGTCTAGTGAAGCAGAAGCCCCCCAAATTTCGATCACTGGCCACAAGGTTAATAGAAATAACTACTTTCAATGGTCTTAATCGGTCAAAATGGAAGTGGGAGAGAAGAATATCTCACTGGAGAAATAATCCAACCAAGCATTAAAGACCCAAAATTCCGAATTTAGAAGGCCCAAAACAATCTGGTCATCTTGTGGCTGATAAATTCCATGACCAACAACATTGGTGAGAATTTTTTGTTGTACACTACAGCTCATGAAATCTAGGAAGCAGCTACGAAATTCTACTTGAGCAAGGAAAACATGTCTGAAATTTTTGTTGTTGAATCTACTTTCCATGACCTGCAACACGAAGACTTATTTGTAACCCAGTATTATGGCACCCTCACTCACCACTGATAGTGCCTAAACGTATTTGAGGAGCTATCTTGGGGTTGTCCAGACAATGGGAAATGATACAGAGAGATTCCAGAAAGGAAAAGAATTTTTAAATTCCTCACAGGACTGCACAAGAATCTAGATGAAGTTTGGGAAAGAATAATAGGAACGAAATCATTACCTGGTAACTGTGAAGTGTTTTCTGAGTAAGAAGAGAAGAAAACATGAAAAAAAGTGATGCTGTGAGGCATTCATTGGTCCACCAACTGAGCAAAATTCTGCCTTGGGTGCCGGTGGCTGTCATCCCAACACAAGCAACTGGCAAAGGAAGGAGAGACCCTAGTGTGATCACTGCACAAAGCCTGATCACAACTTCAACAATTGCCAGAAAATTCATGGAAAACCAGCAGACTTAAAGACCACATAATCAATCACAGGGAAAGGATGACAAAATTATGTCTCTATTGATGAAGCAGCTCCCCTTAATGTGTCATGCGCATTTAGCAAAGAACAAACAGAAGCCCTTCAAGAAATGTTTCTTCAACAAAACCCGATCCATAATAACATTGGGATTGGGAAAACCGCACAAAAAAGTAATTCCTATTTTGAAATAACCAAAAAAGTGATTCTTTAAGTGCTCTTAATGCTATTTCAGGAGGATAAGATACTCAGATCATTGATTCAAGCTCATTTGACCACATGATGGAAAATGCAACATTGTTCCATGAATATAATTTGTGCAATGATAATCTTACCGTGAAAACAGTGGATGGATCTCACTCAAGAGTAGCTGGAGCAGGTCCTATTCCCATTTCAAGGGAGTTAACACTAAATGGAGTTCTTCATGTACCAAGTTTAGACTGTAATTTGTTATCAGTAGTAAATATACTCGAAACCATAACTGCATTGCTAAATTTCTTTATATGTGTGTGAATTTCTGGATTTAGGTTCGTAGGAAACAATTGGCAATGCTAAAGTGAGCTTCAGATTCTCTCCTTAAGCAAAATGTAACTCCTAGAAAACAATTCAAAAATGGAGTATGGTATGACATTTTGACTAAAACACTCAAACTTTGTTTGGTTTTAATAATCGTTCCTATTCTTATTAAAAAATTAAAATTTGAAAAATTTTCATTGTGAAGTGGGTCAATTACCAAAGCATACTAATATTTTATATCCTATGTTGCCTTACAAAACATCTATACCTTTTTCTATATAGTGATGTTTGAGGACCATCTACAATCAACATCATCACTGGGATCAACAACAACACTGGTACTAGATAATTTATTCTTTCATGGATAATCATACTAGAATTGTATAGCTATTCCCTATAAAAGAAAAAAATCAGAAGATGACCATATCTTCAGAAAAGTCAATATTAAGGTCTAAACTCAATTTCAAACAAGAATACTCGGACACTAAAGTCATTGATTCAAGCACATTTGACCATATGATGGAAAATGCAACATTGTTCCGTGAATATAATCTGCGCAATGAGAATCTTACCGTGAAAACAGGGTATGGATCTCACTCAAGAGTGGTTGGAGCAGGTCCTATTCCCATTTCAAGGGAGTTAACACTAAATGGGGTTCTTCATGTACCAACTTTGGACTATAATTTGTTATCAGTAAGCAAATTTACTCAAAACCATAACTGCATTGCTAAGTTTTCTTTATATGTGTGTGAATTTCTAGATTTAGGTTCGGAGGAAACAATTGGCAATGCAGGTGTACTCCAGATTCTTTCTCCTTAAGAAAAATGTAACTCTTAGAAAACAATCCCATAATGCAGTATGTGTTGAGCCTAGAAATAACCCAAACTTATTTGAATAATTCTAGCACAATTTTGCAATGACAGTATTGACCAAAACATCCAAACTTTGTTTACTTTTAATAATCTTTCCCATCCTTATTAAAAAATTAAAATTTGAAAAATTTTCGTTGTGAAGTGCATCAATTATCAAAGCATACTCGTATTTTATATCCTATGTTGTCCTACAAAGCATTTAGATCTTTTTCTAAAGTATATAGTGATGTCTGAGGATCATCTACATTCAATGCCATCATTGGAATCAACAACATCACTGGTATTAGATGGTCTACACTTTCGTGGATAATTATACTAGAATTATATAGTTATTCCCTATAACCATATCTTCATAAAAGTCAATGCTATGGTCTAAACTCAATTTCAAACAAGAATACAAGTAATAAAAATTGACAATCCAAAAGAATACTTTAAAAGAGAGTTGGGCACATATCTTAAAAAAGAGAAAACTGTTCGTCATAGTTCATGGTTGATACCCCTTAACAAAATGAGATAGCTGAAATGAAAAACAAATACCTTTTAGAGGTTATTCAATCCCTCATGTTCATCGCTCAAGTTCCCAAGTTTTTCTAGAATGAAGTTGTTCTAACTAAAACCTACCCCATCAATAGAAAGTCATCTCGGTTTCTCAACTTTCAAACACCCTATAAAATCATGTTTCAAGTCTTTCCTACCACACTGCTTCTATTTACTCTATCTATCAAAGTTTTGAGAGTTTAGTTTTTACTCACATACACAACCATCATAGAAACGAACTTGATCCTAGATCAATCACATGCATCTTTGTTGTTGTACCACTCAAACTAAAAGGAGCAAAAGTGTTATTCACTTATTACGAGGAAGTTTCACAATTTCATAAATATTATTTTTCATGAAAACCAACCATACTATAAAATTGATATTCAATGGGAGAAACATACACATGAATACCAACTTTGGGACTCCACCAGTGACCCTATCTTCAACAATACCTCAGAAGATCCTCATCCTCTTCCAACTAAACCCAATCAAATTCACGATGAGACATCCAAACCAACTTAGTCCCTAGACTAATGGATCCTTGATCAAAATTCCATATACCTCTAAGACCACCACTTACTCAACCCACTACAAAGACTAAACTATGTGTCTACACCAAGAGAAACAAGAATCAAGATGAGAAAGAGCCGCAGCCACCAAATCAAGGCTATGAATCCAGTTCAGATCCAGAACCCCAAGATCTTCAGGTAACATAAGATCATATCCCCTTCTGAAGGTTTGTATAGTGATGATAGACCTATTACATTGAGAAAGTAGAAAAGAGTATGCACTGATCATCCATTACAATTTTGTATCAGATAAAGGTCCTATCATCAACTCACCAGGCCTTTATTATCAATATTTTTTTTTGAAATACAGAAGACGGTAAATGAAACTCTTAAAGTACCTAAATGAAGAGGTGCAATTATAAAGGAAATCTGAGCCTTCTAGAAGAATGGGACATTAAAAATAATAGAATTACCATATGGGAAACAACCAATTTACGGTAAATGGGTCTTCAAAGTCAAGCATAATGCTCATGGCAGCATCAACATGTTCAAAGCCCGCATAGTAGCCAAAGGCTTCACTCAATCTTATGGAATCGTTTATTAGGAGATATTTCTACCTTTGGAAAAAACTCAACACAGTTTGTATACGGATGTCTCTTGCAGCAACTCTGGATTGGCTAAAAAACTCAACACAGTTTGTATACGGATGTCTCTTGCAGCAACTCTGGATTGGCTACTGTTTCAACTAGATGTGAAGAGTGTCTTTCTAAACGGAGAATTGGAGGAAGAAATCTATACAGAAAAAACCATAGGGCCTTGAAAATTAAGTCATGACCAAATAAGTTCATAAGCTAAGAAAATCTCTATATGGTCTAGAATAATCTCCAAGAGTGTGGTTTGGTAGTTCATTGAAACAATCAAAAAGTTTAGATATAATCAAGGCCAAACATATTACACCATGTTTGT